CATATAGGCAAGAAGACAACTGAATGACATATATAACACTCTGAAAGAAAATTATTGCCAACCCAGAATCATATCTCCAGCGAAACGGTTCTTCAAATTTGATGGTGAAATTGCATCATTTTCAGATAAACAGAAGTTAAAAGAATTTGTAAAAATGAGATCAACCTTTTAGCAAAAAATACTAAAGGGAGATCTTTGGACAGAGAACCAGCAGTAGCAGACGACAATCTGAGACTCACACCGTATCACCTAGACTGAACCCAGATATGAAGTCTTCAAAGAAAAACAGACCTACAAGACTAAAGAGTAGAGAACCAGAGATACACTTGGAACAGTAACAACAAAAGCCCCATAAAATAAAAAGAGGGAGTAATGTTACAGAACTTTCAAGTGAAGAAAAATATAGTTACAGAACTTCCAAATGAAGAGAAAATCAAGTAGATTTCAAGGAAAATGTTTCGTAAATAAAAATAAACCTAAATGTACCTCTAAAAAATAGGCCAAGCCTTATTCTTAGCCTTAGTCCAGCCTTACCCCTAACACTAACCCTAGTCTTAAACTTAACCCTAACACTAAACCAAGTCGTAGATCTAGCCATAGCCCTTATCCTAACTTTCGCTTCTTATTCTTGAACTTCCCTCCAAAATGATTAAGGACCTCAATGTGCAAACCAAAAGCACAGACATCAAAAGACAAAATTAATAAGTAGGATCTCAGAACAATTAAAAACTTTTGTTCATCAGGAGACTACCAAGAAAGTGAAAAGACAAGCTACTAACTGAGAAAATATCTTTGGAAACCATAGCTCCAACAAGAATCTAAGAACCAAAAAATATATAAAGCTTTGACAACTTAATAACTAAAAGACAAATAACCTGATCATAAAATGGGCAAAGGAATTGAATAAACATTTCACAAAAGAGGACATACTGATGATCACCAGACACCTAAAAAGGACCTTTGTTGTTGTTAGCTGCAATGGAGTCGGTACTGACTCATAGCGACCCTATGCA